TATGCCTAACTAACCAGTTCATGTCAACAACCTGCGACATTTTCCTTTTCCTTTTTTTTGGGGGGGGGGAGGTTTTTGCTATAGAGTATGTGCGCTCACCAGAAAGACAGAGAGAGACAGAAAGACACAAAGTGAGAAATCCTGCCCCCCTCCCCAGGGAGGATGATCACACCACAATCCCTTCTCCTCCATTCTCCTCTCAGGATCTTGGGCATGCAAGCACATGTGCCAGGTGTGAGTTTAAGCCATAACCCCAGGACCTAGACCAGCTCTAACGGATTGAACCACCAGACTAGCACCCACAGACAAGGCCTCCAAGCTAGCCTCCATAGACCCAAGATCCTGGCTTGTCCCTACAGCCACAGGCTCCAGACCAGCCCCTACAGACACAGGCTTCTTGATTGCCCCAGTACCAGGCTAGCCACAGGCTCCAGGCCAGTCTCCACAGATGCATGTTATAGTGAACCCAAGGTTCGGTCCTGCTTCTGTGGTCCTCTACTTCTTTGGGACCAGCAGTTAGCATAATGGCTATGTCGCTGGACTCCCATGTAGTTGACTGCTGTTCAAGTCCTGGACCAGGTGGATTAAACTCACGCTGGGCGCATGTGCGTGTGTGCGTCTGTGCCCAAGATCCCGAGAGGAGAACAGAGGAGAAGGGATTACGGCGTGGTCATCCCCTCTGGGGCGGGGGGGATTTCTCACTTTCTATCTCTCTGTCTCTCTGGTGTGTGCACGCTCCCTAGAGCAAAAACCTCTCCAAAAGAGGAGGAAAGACTCTACTTCTTCAAATGTGCAGTCATTAATATATCACCACAAACATCAAGAAAAATAAGAGAAATAGGATCCCACCAAAGAAACAGAAAAAGTAAAACAAAGCACTAGTAACCAACCTTATAGAAATGGAGATACACAATTTTCTTGCCAAATAATTCAAAACAAAGATTTTAAGAATATTCACTTAACTTCACGAAAATGTAAAAAAAAAATTCAACAAAATTAAGAAAAGAAGAATGACCAAAAACAAGATATTTAACAGAGAAATTAAAAACATAAGGAAGGTCAAAAGTCTCCACTAAGATGCAATCCAAACGAGACTGTATGGTATCAAGACAGATAATTCATAGTATAAAAGGATATAAATTGTTCATCCAGATCTTAAGGTCCAGCTGCAGTAGTACACACTACTTGATGCTGTTATTCAGTAGCCTAAGGCTGTATGGAAGGCCGGGGTTCAATTCCTGGTGCACTTTAAAAAGGTGGGCACTGTGACACATGCCTATATTCTCAGCTATTTGGGTAGCTTAGACAAGAGGATCATGACATAGAGAGAGCTTGTCAGAAAACAAAACAAAACACCAAATGTGGGGAGGACGGTTGGGTAAAAGTATAAACTTTTTATACGTGATTGAACTTAAGTTATTATGAGCTTAAAATTGTGTTATAACTATAAGATGTTTAATATAAGCCTGATAGTAATCACAAAGCAAAAATGTAGAACAGATACACAAATGATAAAATGCAAGGAATCAAAGCACAACTCTATAAAGAAAGCCACCTAATAATAGACAGTAAAAAGAGGAAAAAAGAAACAATATACAAAACAACCAAAAAATACGTAAATAATATTAATAAGTGTTTACCTTGAATATAAGTATATTAAATTCTCCATTGAAAAACGACAGAGTGGCTGGGTAGATTAAAAAACATAGCTGGGGGGAACCAGCAGTTAGTGTAATGGCTATGTTGCTGGACTCCCACGTAGTCGTACGTGTGTGCATCTGTGCCCAAGATCCCGAGAGGAGAACAGAGGAGAAGGGATTGTGGCGTGGTCATCCCCTCTGGGGCGGGGGGGATTTCTCACTTTCTATCTCTCTGTCTCTCTGGTGTGTGCACGCTCCCTAGAGCAAAAACCTCTCCAAAAAAGGAGGAAAGACTCTACTTCTTCAAATGTGCAGTCATTAATATATCACCACAAACATCAAGAAAAATAAGAGAAATAGGATCCCACCAAAGAAACAGAAAAAGTAAAACAAAGCACTAGTAACCAACCTTATAGAAATGGAGATACACAATTTTCTTGCCAAATAATTCAAAACAAAGATTTTAAGAATATTCACTTAACTTCATGAAAATGTAAAAAAAAAATTCAACAAAATTAAGAAAAGAAGAATGACCAAAAACAAGATATTTAACAGAGAAATTAAAAACATAAGGAAGGTCAAAAGTCTCCACTAAGATGCAATCCAAACGAGACTGTATGGTATCAAGACAGATAATTCATAGTATAAAAGGATATAAATTGTTCATCCAGATCTTAAGGTCCAGCTGCAGTAGTACACACTACTTGATGCTGTTATTCAGTAGCCTAAGGCTGTATGGAAGGCCGGGGTTCAATTCCTGGTGCACTTTAAAAAGGTGGGCACTGTGACACATGCCTATATTCTCAGCTATTTGGGTAGCTTAGACAAGAGGATCATGACATAGAGAGAGCTTGTCAGAAAACAAAACAAAACATCAAATGTGGGGAGGACGGTTGGGTAAAAGTATAAACTTTTTATACGTGATTGAACTTGTTATTATGAGCTTAAAATTGTGTTATAACTATAAGATGTTTAATATAAGCCTGATAGTAATCACAAAGCAAAAATGTAGAACAGATACACAAATGATAAAATGCAAGGAATCAAAGCACAACTCTATAAAGAAAGCCACCTAATAATAGACAGTAAAAAGAGGAAAAAAGAAACAATATACAAAACAACCAAAAAATACGTAAATAATATTAATAAGTGTTTACCTTGAATATAAGTATATTAAATTCTCCATTGAAAAATGACAGAGTGGCTGGGTAGATTAAAAAACATAGCTGGGGGGAACCAGCAGTTAGTGTAATGGCTATGTTGCTGGACTCCCACGTAGTCGACCGCGGTTCACGTCCCAGACCCGGTGGCTTAAAACTCATGCCGGGCGCGTGTGCGTACGTGCCCAAGATCCCGAGAGGAGAATAGAGGAGAAGGGATTGCAGCGTGACCATCCCCCCTGAGGGTGATTTCTCGCTTTCTGTCTCTATGTCTCTGTCTGTCTGGTGAGCACACACGGCCTATAGCAAAAATCTCTCAAAAAAAAAGAAAAAAAGAAAAAACATAGCTGGGACCAACAGGTCGCATGGAGGTTAAGGGACCTGGCAGCTTGAGAACCACACTGGGCACATGTGCATTAGTGTTTTAATTCCCAAAAGGAGAATGGAGGAGAAGGGACTGTGGCATGATCATTTCTCCTGAGGGGTGATTTCTCACTTTCCCGTTCTCCGTCTGTCTCTGGTGAGCACATGCACGCTAGGGCAAGAACCTGAAAAAAAATGTGATCATATGCTGCCTGGAAGAGACTCACTATAACTTTAAAGACACATAGAGACAGAAAGTGGAAAGCTGGAAAAAAGATATTCCATACAAATTAAAACCAAGAGAGAGAAAGGGGATTTAGGTGCACATCTCAGATAAAATGGAATTTAAATAAAAAATATTGTAAAATGAGATAAAGAAGGTCATAAAATAATGATAAAATGGTTAATTATTCAATAATATATAACACTTAAATATATATGTTTTGTATACCCAACCTTAGAACACCCAAATATGTAAAGAAGTGACAAATAAAGCCATATTTTCACTGTGCTTGATTTTTAAAAACTGTAATATTGGTTACTCAATAAATACTATCAGCCAGTGAAATGAGCAAACTGTGGAAAGCAGCATGGTGTGAAGATAAAAAAAAAGTAAGAGAAGAATTAATACAATAAATGTCAATTAAGATTATATAGCGATCATGCTAAGCTATATGTTGCTTATAAACACATAAATAATTAGAAAAATTAGAAAAGTATGGAGCTGATAAATGTTAAATTCTGAATGGCAGATAGGGAATATAACACAGAAGAGACACACAGAAAACTTCCACAACAGATGAATATTCCATTTTCTAAGTCATAGAAACATAAAGTACATATCTTCATAGTAATCTTAGTATAAAGAATGGCTCAATCAGTACTAGACGAGAGTTCAGATGACTGTTCTACATTGTTTCATTTGTATAAAGTAATTCACAATTTAGGGAAAAACTTCTACAATTAAGCCAAAAGGTCAATAGTGAGAGTAATATATTTACCTGAGATACAGTTCTTGTTATTTGACTCAAGTCTAGCTGACTAGTGGTTGTAGTTTCATCACTTTCAGGGACAGAAGGTAAACCAGATCTTGAAGACACTCCTTTTTTAGTAAAAGATTGTACATAATGCCTTATAGGAGAAAAAAAAAAGTCTACTGTTTTAATCTTTCATTTTAAGTTGCTAATACATAACTACAGCTTTGTCAAAGGGAGTTCTGGTTTTGTTCATTTTGATTATTTTCTTTCTTTCACAACTACTATGTATAAGAAATATATATTTTTACTTCGTGTTAAAACATTGAATCACTTTGTTCACTACTAAAGAAATATTTCATCTCAGTCAAAGTATCAGTGTAAAATTTTCCAGAACACAGCTATGGTGATCATCTCTGTATTTTTAAGAATTCTATGGGCTGGTTCTGTAGCACAATGATTTAGCACTGTGCACTAAAAGCTGAATTTTGTAAGACCAGCTATGGTTCAAATCCTAGCACTGGGGCTTGAAAAACATGTTAGGTTCATGTGTGTGCATGCCCCAAATCCTGATGGGATGTAGAAATCGAGGAAAAGGGATTGTAGTATTTTCATACCTCATTGGGGGGTGCTTTATCTTGGTCTCACTATCTCTTTTTCTCTCTAGTGAGTTCATGTACCCTCTGGCAATAAAAAGAAAATAGAAATTTGACATTTAGAATTGACTTAATTTTCAGAGTAGTGTATTTTAATGCATTTTACCATTACCAAGTAGCCTTTATCCCAGGGATGCAAGGATATTTTAACAATGCAAAACAATAACTGTAATACATTAAGAAGAAAAAAATGTTTAAGTGATCATAATAATTGATGCTGAAGAATAATTTCATAAAACACAACATCCCTTCATGAATAAGACTCTCCAGAAAAGAAACATAGAAGGTATATTCCTCAACACAATAAAAGCCATAAATGACATATCTATAGTCAACATCAGACCAAATAAGGAATAGCTGCAAGTTTTCCTACTAAAAATTATAACAAGACAAGGTGGTCTGATTTCTCCACTCCTCAATACATTACTGCATTTCCAGCCAATGCAGTCAGAGAGGAGAGGAAAATAAAATGCATTTTTTTTTTGAAAGAAGTTAAATTGTCCCTGTTTGCGGATGACATGATTACATAGAAAAGCTAAGAGAATTCATGGAACAACTCCTGGAAGTGATCAATTAATTCAGTAAAGTAACAGGATAAAAAATCAATATAGAAAAATCTATAGTGTTCTTAATACACTAACAATGAATATAGTGAGGTAAAATTGAAGGAAAAAACTCATTTAAAATAGCAAAACACACACACACACACACACACACACACACAAACTAGGAATAAGCCTAATCAAAGAGGCGAAAGACTTCCACAAGGATAACTATGAAAAACTGAAAAAAGAAATTGAATATGATACAAAAAATTAGAAAGACAATTCTTGTTCTTGGATAGGAATAATCAATATAATTAAAAGGTCAATAGTAGCTAAACTAATTTACAAAATCAATGTGATTCTGATTAAATTACCAGTGAGATTCTTCACAGAAATATAAAAGGCAATTATAAAATTTGTCTGGAATCATAAAAGACCCCATATCACAATAGTAATACTGTGCAGGAAAAATAAAATACAAGGCATCTCACCACATCTTAAGGCCTTAAAATATATTACAAATCTGTGTTAATCAAGATAGCACAGTCCTGGAAGGAAATGGACACACAGACCAATGGAACAGAATAAAGAATTTAGAAAAAAAAAAATCCCAGAACATACAGCCACCTAATTTTTGACACTGGGCACAAGGCAATCCAGTGGGGAAAAGAAAATCTTTTCAGAAAATGATGCTAGAACAACTGATATCTACCTGCATGGAAATGAAACTGGACCCCTATCTCTCACCATTAACAAAAATGAACTCAAAATGGAATAAAGACTTAAATGTAAAAGCTCAAACTATGAAACTACTTGTGGAAAATGAAGGAGAAACACTTGAAGACATTGGAGTAGGCAAAGATTTATTATATAAGACTCCTAGAGCTCAGGCAAGAATTCCAAATAAACAAGTAGGATTACATCAAGCTAAAAGTTTCTTCATAGTAATGGAAACAATAAGCAGAGTGAAGCAACAACCCACTGAATGGGAGAAAATATTTGTAAACTATGCTTCAGATAAGAGATTGATATCCAGAATGTATAGGGAATTCAAGCAGTCTAGTCACAATAAAAAAAAATGCATAATCCAATTCATAGATGGGCACATAAGTTGAGCAAACTCTCAAAGGAAGACATACAATGGCCAAAAAGTAATGAAAAAGTGTTTAATATCTCTTATCATAAAGAAAATGCAAGTCAAAGCTATCATTAGGTAATCATTTAGCCCATCAGAATCACTACATTCAAAAACACAAAGAACAACAGATGTTGGCAAGGCCATGGTGAAAAGAAACTCTACTGCACTATTGGTGGGAATGTAAATTAGTACAGTCATTGTGGAAAACAATATAGAGGTTCTTCAAATATTTGCAAATAGAACTACCATATAGCCCAGAATCCCACTCCTTGGTATTTACCCAAAGGCCAGGAAAACAACTGTTGGAAAGACACATAGAGATTCCTGTTTATCGCAGCATTAGTCACAATTACCAAGACTTGCAATCAAACTAAATGACAAATAACTGATGACCGTATCAAAAATATGTGACACAAATGCACTACAGAATACTACTCAGCCACAAACAGTGAGACTTTGTGATTCTACACAAAGTCAATGAATATAGAAGATGAACATTGTATATCTTTGTGCTCTCTCTCTCTCCATACACACACACACACACACACACACACACACACACATCTACAGTAGAAATGATCAAAAGGCATAGTAGTACAGAGGACAAATGTAGATACCAGAGACTGTATGAAGGGGGTAGGGTGTGGGTAAGGGATTAAGAAAAAAAAGGGAGGGGTTTTAACAGACAAGAATGTAAGGTTCTTTGTTGAAATAATGTATAATCCTTGGTTTTTTTATTACTCACTGCATGCATGCTTTGAGAAACCATACTGCACATCTTAAAGATGTAAAACAAATTAATTTAAGAAATGATAAAAACAAAACAAAGTAAAAAAAAGTAGATTTCTATTCAAAAATAAGTATCAGAGTAATGTGTCAGTGAAGCCAGGATCAGAGTCATACATCTAATTATGAGTCTTGTGCACTTAATTTATAATTAGGACACTCATACTTAAACTACCTGTGTATAATACTCCCACAGATTTCTAATATTACCCCAAACTAACAGTGCTATAGCTTGAATTTTATAGTCATACAAAAATCCATTTGTTATAGTATATATGTTTTAGGTAAGGTGTTTTTTGAAAATTAAATTATATGCATTTAAACTTTATAAACATTTCTTTCCAGTTAGTGTCCAGTAAAACTGAATTCCCCTCTAACTAAATCTTCCTGATATGCATGAAATTTCCACTAGAGGGTAGTAGAAACATGATTTTGAGGCTCCAATTCTAGGAAACAAGGCTATGAGCCAAGAATGGGCAAACCTGGCCTGTTGCTACAATAACAGTTTCAGTGATAGGAAGCTGTGAGAGCAGGTGCTTTCAAAGCTCACCACAAGAAGGACTTGCTTTTATGTTGACCTGAGAACTCTGACTGTACAGCAAAATGGAATAGAAGGGACATGTTTTTTATTCAGGATAAAATATCATTCATATATCTTCACATTTGGCTCTGTCAGATAAAATGAATATGCAAATTTGTTCATAACAGATCCAAGCAGTGACTAGATTAGTTGAATTCAATCAAGTAATGAAGTCACCTGTACCTGAGAATTAGTGTTTTATCCATCCTAATCAAGTAATAAAGCTGAAAGAAAGTACAAGAAAATCAAGTAAAGGAATAGCTCAGGGAATTCAGGTTATAAAACCAACACATTTGTGGCCCAAATTGGCATAAAGATTCTGAGAGGCTAGACATAACGATTTAAACCATGAAAACATTTGCCCTCGCAGTCTGCAGCTCCCTTTTGAACAACCTACAAAATCTGTGATTAGTATGCAAATTCAGTCAGCTGGGCGATAGGCAAAAATTATTTGGAATGGAGAAGTCATTGTCTTAAGTGTCTTGCTTTATTTTAGGTGCCAACATGGACTAGAGGATACCTAGATAGCCAGTGAAGCTTTATTTTTTAGTGTGTCTGTGATGGTATTTCTGAAGAAGATTGTCATATGAGTCCACAGACTGAGTGGTGAAGATCTGCTCTTAACACAGTCAGGCACAATTAGCTGGAGAGCTGAATAGAGCAAAAGGCAGAGGAAATGTGAAATAACTCTTTCTTGGACCTGGGATACCCTTCTTCTCCTCAGCTTGGACAACAGAACTTTAGGTTCTCTGGCCTTGGGTCTCTGGGACTTGTGTTAGCAACACTCTTACTCCCACTCCAGGTTTTCAGTCCTGTGGCCTTGGACTGATAGTTACACTCTTGACTTTCCAAGTTCTGAGGACTTTGCACTTGGACAGAGCCACACTGCTGACTTCCTGGGTTCCCCAGCTTGCTGACAGTCAGTCATGGGATTTAGCCTCCATAACGGTGTGAACCAATTCCTCTAATAAGTTCTCTCTCCTATCTATCTATCTATATCTGTCTATTCATCCATCCATCTGTCCAGCCTATTGATTCTATAACATCTCGCCAAAGCAGTAAAACAGACAGTAAAAATATAAGGAGGGAAAAGGAGGACATTTTTCTATATAATATATCATTTTTCTATATATATTTGTTTCACAAATATTTTTATATATTTTTTCAGAATCTTCATTGATTACATTAAGTAAGTTTTTGCCTCATAAAAACAGGAGTGCCCTTCATAATAAATACTTCATATTCCCCTGATTTTTTATTTATACATAACTGGGATTGAAGGGCACATTCAATTTTTTAAAAAATTTTATATAATAATAAAGGCCATTCAAAGTAGGCTTCATTTGAATTGATTCAAAATTTATCTTAAAGTAAGTATTTATTATTATAAAAGAGAATCTAAGAAATATTATTTAACCACTGCGTTAACACAAATTTTAGTATATTTGTCATCAAAGTATAAACTTCTATTTATAAAATAAAATTGATTCAAATATTTTAATTATCATATTAAGACATCTAAATTCAATGAGCCTTTTTCATAGAACAAAGTACGTTCAATCTAGTTAAATAAATTGATTGGCTTTTTGCATTTTCGTTTATAAATGGAAATATAGGTCAATAATAGAACTAATAGAAACTAAAAATAATATAATACTATTATAATGAAATGTTACACTTATAGGCAGGTCACTTATTCATTCCCTTTAACATTCAGAAAAAAAATATACAATGATTAAAATTATCCACTTAAAATATTTGACAATTGAGAACTTAAAATACGACCAACACAAATAAGGAATTTTAGGTTTTAATTTTATATAATAATAATCAACTTAAAATTAAATTACATAGCCACATGTACTACTTGTAGTTTCTTTTCAGCTTTTACAGTACTAGTAGTTTATCAGTGCTTAATATTGTCTGCCTCAGATAGCCTTGCCTCCTCCAAATGTGCCTTTTATTTGCTGGCTGCGATAAAAAACACAAATTTTTTAGGATTAGTTGATGCGGATGCTTATATATTTATGATGAAGACCTCAAGGGTTCTTTAGACTCTGAGTCAATACTATAACACAGTACCTTGGATATAGCATGTAACTTCAATGACTTCTTCAGAGGTTTCATTTCCCAATTAGCCACACTGGGAGTTAGGGCTTTTCACATACAAAGTTTGGGGAAACACAAACGTTCAGTTCATAATATTTACACATTAAAAAGTGAATTGGTAATTAAATGAATTAATCACACACGACAAAAGGTCAAGGAAATGTCCTTGAGTATGTTTTCAATATATATTCGTCATTTTCTTAAATTAAGATACTTCAAAATGCTCCCATTTAGTGTTATTTTTAACCACACACATCACAGGATACTCTTCGTTAATAAGATGTATTCATGTGAAAGAACATTATATACTTACGCTTCTGTTGGAATTGTAAATGAAGTCAATCTATAGTTCAGAAATGGACTTGAAATCTCAAGAAACTGCTCAGGCTTCTTTAAAATTGTTCCTAAAAAGTAGCAGGTTGGAATTGTGATGTACATTTTTTTTTTCGTCTTCCAGGATTGCATGCAGAATTGAGCACTTAATGCAGTACTGATTAGATTAACTATTTATCCAGCTAATTTCAATAGAGTTAAATAGAAATGTACAAAGATAGGTAAAATTGTTTATTGAAAGAATTTATAGATCTTGGATTAGATTACTTTTGTCTCATTCTCATTTGCTTTCCATATTACAAATTAAGCCTCAAGGGAGAAAGTTGTCAATGTCATAAATAGTTATTACATGGAATTCCTGCTATTTCAAGTACAGAGGTAACTTTCTTTAAAAGCTTCTTACAGGGTTCTGGCAGGCAGTGTGGTGGTTAAGGCGGCTGGACTCCCACATGACTGACCGTTGTTCAAGTCTCGGACTTGAAAGTTGTTTTCCCACTTTCCTTCTCTCTCTCTGTCTCCAACTTCAGGGAGATGGAGAGACAGAGAGAGAAATAGAGAAGGAAAGTGACCTCCCTGATCACTATCAAAATAATGGTAATGAATAAAATTAAATGAAATAATCCTTTAAAAACAAAAAAATGCTTCTTACTGGGATCAGTGAATAGTGTAATAATTATGTCATTGGACTCCTACATGACTGACTGCAGTTCAGATCCCGGACATGTGGTTTGAAGTTCATGCCTGGTGCATGTGTGTGTGTGTCCAAAATCCTGAGAGGAGAATGGAGGAAGATGGGATTGCAGCGTGGCCATCTACCTTGGGGAGTGATTTCTTGCTTTCTGTCTCTCTTTCTCTGTCTCTCCAGCAAGCATAAGCACCTTATAGCAAAATTATCTCTAAAAACAAAAAATAAATAATTAAAAATGTTTCTTTTCATAAAAAAATTAACCTTTGTTGACTTCCTCAGCACAACTACTTAGAACATGAAGAGAAAATGTGAACTAATTGGGAGCAGCAGTTAGTGTAATGGCTATGTCTCTGGACTCCCATGTAGTCGACCATGGTTCGCGTCCCAGACCCAGTGGCTTAAACTCACACCAGGCACATGTGCATGCGTGCCCAAGATTCCGAGAGGAGAATGGAGGAGAAGGGATTGTGGCGTGGCCATTCCCTCTGGGGGGTGATTTCTCGCTTTCTATCTCTTTGTCTCTCTCTGTCTGTCTGGCGAGTGCACGCGCCCTATGGCAAAAATCTCTTCAAAAAAAGAAAAAGAAAATGTGAACTAATGTATGAAAATAGTAGTGGAAGAACAGAAAATGTTTTAGAGGTCAATGTAGAAAAAAAAGTGGCAGTGGAGAGATCCTTGACTACTCCTCTAGGAGTCTGAAGTTGACCTAGAAGTAAAAAGTTCTCAATACATGGGGGGCAAGGCATATACATTACTCTGGTGAACACGGAAATGAACCGTGTTAGAGATGACTGTCAGGAAAAACACTGAGGATGTCTTTATACATTTTCTCTGGTAGTTCTGTACTATCCTCTAAAATGATCCTCCTTTCCATTTTCGGTTCATCTTCACTTACAATATTAAGAGAAGATTAATATTGAGAGAAGAAAGACAACATTTTGGTGACTCTCTATGTGGGACACCACCATCACCATGTTGGGTTTGCATTCTCATTTATTAAAAGTGGTAACTTACATAGAATTACAGGACACTTGGTAGCAAAATCAGGAAATCAGTATGTTTAATATTCTTTCCTTCAGCTACTCCTTGATTCTCTGAATGAAGAAGTGTTTCAAGTGGCTCAATGTATTAAATTAAATTCAGGATTTAAAAATAAAATATTTTAAGTTTCATGTGAACGTTAGTTCCAGGAAAGACAATAAAATAAGAAAGGAGGAAAAAAGAAAGGAAGGAAGGAAGGAAAGGAGGGAGGAAGGTCAGAAAGGAGGGACACTGCAAAGTTCTTATAACCCAAAACATCAGAAGTGCTTTGTTAGCACCAACATCCCATTGCAAAACCTCAAGGAATGTACGGAAACTACTATGTAAATAATTAAGTGGAAAGGAAGAAGGTAGTGGGACCTACATAAGAAGTGAAACAACCATTTCGCCTCTCCATCCAATCTAGACATTCCTTTGTTATTTTCTGGCAAGGGTAGCACATGCTGTGCTAGAGAACTCTTTGTTACTCACTGCACTGGTTGTGTCAATGTAGGCAAAAAGCAAATGTGAGGAAAATTGTATTGTTAATAATTATTTATATATTCTTTAAAACTCCATTTGTTTTTTTATTAATTTTATTTTTTCATTCATTTTATTTATTAATTTATTTTAATTTGATCAGAAAGACACAGAGAAAGAGCGAGGAAAAGTGAGAAAGCAAGCCACCAGGTCTGAGACTTGAACCGTGTTTGGCCACGTGGGAATCCAGCGCCCTTATCCACCAAGCCACTTACCGGCCCCAATTGTTTATATTTTTAGAAGAGTTATTTTATTTAAATTTATTTATTTATTCTACCTTAATTTGACCAGAGAGGGACAGAATGATTGAGAGAGAGAGAGACAAAGAGAGAAAGAGAGAGAGAGAGAAAGCAAGCCGCCATGTCCAGGACACGATCCACAGTCGACCGTGTGGGAGTCCAGGACCCTTAACCATCATATCACCTGCCAGCCCCTGTTATTTATATATTTTTAATGTGTGTATTATAGTAGAAAGAAGAAGGCAAGGAATAGATAAATATCCCATTCTACGTGGCTATTGGCATTCTAGGATCCTGAGTATCACTGAGATTTATGTATTACACTGAATCAGGTAAGGTCTCTTGCCTCTTGCAGTCAAGTTTCAGCAGCACTTTAAGTGATAGTAAGAGACATAGCAGTTCAAAGGCTATCACCAGCAGGAAGCCAAGTTTCATGGGACCAAATACATTAAACACATTAATAAGCTTAGCAATAATCCCTCTGGTAAAAGGCACTATGAACATTCACTGTGGCTTTGCCTTCATGGTTCAGTCAGGTGCCAGACCTCCAACTGCAGTCTCTGATACTATAACCTGCAGAACATGATGTACTATTACTTAATTAGTAGAACTAAAAATTAATGAGGTATTAGGAAAAAATGCAAATGCAAGAAAATGAGGACAAAAACAATTTAAAATCTGTCTTTGAACAAAAAGCTAACTGAAACTTTTTAGAATGAGAATGTATATTTTTAGCATATACACAAGCACATAGTCACACATATAATCAACGGTAGTGCAATTCTTCATCATTCACCACTAAAAGCGCACATGCTAAAATAGCTGTGGGAAGGCTCTACATGTAGAATAAGCATATGTGAGTTATGAGTTACCATGCTATGCTTTTTAAATTACTAGTATTTATTTTAACCCCTTTCCTCCATGTTCATGCTTTTACTTTAAAATTGATTTTTCATTTGTGGTCTCATTCATTTCTTCTCTTGCCATCTTGGTCCCTTTTCTATTCACACTTGGTGCTAATGAAAAATGCAGTAAGAATGGAGACTTAGAGAGAACAATAAATTCAAAGGAGTAAAGAATTAGACATGGACTGTGAAGAATTTAGCAATAAACTGTGTGAAAATAAGAATAAAGTATTAATCATCTCTTTCCTGCCTTCAGCCCATGGGAACCTATTTATCTGGCCTTTCCTAAGTGGTCAAATGATAGTATTAACACAGGAACCAGCTCAGGACAGAAGTTCTACCCCTCTAAAAGTTCTAAGTATAAATCAGTAATTTGAAGATTATATTCTATAGGGTACTCTATAGTAATTTTTATATTATAAATTCACTTCAGTGGTTTAATATATGGTATTTAATTTCCTGTATTATTTGCTATAAGCCACTTTTTAGATTGTATCACACTAATAACAATGCCATCAGTCAAAGAATGAGCTTGATAATATGGGTAATTAAGACATGAACCAAACTGACTTCTGTGACTGAAGAATTAATCCTTTAAAGATTTAAATTTGGACATGAGATTACATGAATGTCCCAGCCATGGTGGCGTGCATTGTGAAGACTGCTACATGACTTAGGACCACATGGGAGACCTGTTTTGATTCCCATTCCAATTTAAGGTTGAGTACAAAGGCACCTGTATGTAATCATTTACTCAGGAATACTGATGCTCAAAGCTGGCCTGGAAAACATAGCAAGACCTTGTCTACAAAAGACCCAGGTGTGGTTATATGTGCCAGGGAGACTCAAGTAGGAGGATTGTAACATGGAACAACCCCACCTTAAAAAATAAATAAATAAAAGTAGATGCAAAGTGCAATGTTGCATGGTTTACCTTGACATAAATCTTTGACCACTAAAGAAACTATTGAACCTTTATATAGCAAAAGGTTAATCAAACAATTTTTAAGACAATCTGGTGCATACTTTGAGCTTCATCTGTTATAACAGGTTCTTTTTTTTGACGAATGCGCTTCCAGGGAGGTGTGGCAGGTGGTTTTGGTGGTGCCACAAGAGGACAAGATCTACTTCTAGTCACCAGCACGGGATGACTACAAATGTGGGAAAGCCCATATTCTCTAAGTTTCTCAGCAGAATCTGCCTAGAAGATGGAAAGCAGAATCAAAAGAATCCTTGCAATTACCTTCAACCCCTTAAACAATGCTTTGTCAACATAAAAATACCATATATCATCACTACAATGCTGCAGAGGTAATAAAGAAAAAATAACCACCCATATTTCTACCTCCCTCAATATAAGCACCATTATCATTTGTATTGCTTTACATCTTTTTACTTTTCTAGGGCCCATTTCCATATTTACAAAGTGAGAAATTAGAATAGAAGACACTTATTTTTTCTTGGAGAGGTTTTTGCTATAAGGCACGTGTGCTCACCAGACAGAGACAGAGAGACAGAAAGCAGGAAATCACCCCCCAAGGGGGATGGCCATGCCGCAATCCCTTCTCCTCCATTCTCCTCTCGAGATTTTGGGCACGCATGCACATGCGCCCGGCATGAGTTTAAGCCACCGGGTCTGGGACTTGAACCGTGGTCAACTACATGGGAGTCCAGCGACATGGCCATTACACTAACTGCTGGTCCCAATAGAAGACACTTTTGAGTTCTAAACACTTATAAGGTTCTGTGAGGTTACAAAAATTGTAGCACATCAGTTTTGGTACAAAATTAATTAATCAGCCATTGTGTTTATAGGCTCAAGTGTTAACACCAGTGCTAGTGTACTAAATATGTATATACAATTACATGTAAAGTTTGTTTTAATAACTATAAATTGCTATCTAGTGTTCAAACAAATCCAGTCTTATTTCTTTTCAAGAAGTGACAAGCAAGTAGTTGTCTTATCTGTGGTTTATACCCTCACATTTTTCTTCTTTCTTTCTTTTTTTTTTTTTTTTGTTTTTTTGAGTGGTTTTTGCTATAGGGCATGTGCACTCACCAGAAAAACAGAGAGAGACGAAGAGATAGGGAGTAAGAAATCACTCTCAAGGAGAAATGGTCACACTCACTGTAATCCCTTCTCCAGTCTCCTCTCAGGATCTTGGGCACACATGCACACATGCCCAACATGAGTTTAAGCCACAGAGTCTGGGACTCAAACTGAGGTCAGCTACAGGGAAGTCCAGCACCGTAGCCATTATGCCAACTGCTGGTCCTCATACCCTCACTTTCTAACAGTGGGTTCCTTTACAGGAAATTCCTGTGATTACTCCTGACATTGAAGACATTCACTGGAGAGAGGAGATAGAAGCTGCTCTGTTATCTTGCCAACTGCCCAGGTAGACATTTCCCATTTTCAAATGTTTAGATTTCCCAAAGTTACTCTGCTTAGGAAAAACTCAGAATAATATTTATACAGAACTTCAGTCACTAATTGAAGGCTGCAATATGCCATAAGAAACAAAAAGAATGTGAAACATAAAGTGATATATTCTGTAGGCAAATGCAGTCTTTCATAGCTTATTTTAACATTTAAAAATAAAGTGACATATTAACTACATTCATGTTAAATTTGCCTCCAAATGTCTTTCCCCAGGCCCCACTCCTCCACATACATCACATCTGGCATTCACACCCATCTCTTGTGTTTGTACATCCTTTAGCCCGTCAGTTTCAGTCATAGAATGCAGACATTCGGACATACAATGTCTCTCCTCCATAGCCTGGCTTGCTTCACTCAGCAGTAAATCTTCCATATTCTTCCACTTCCTGTCAAAAGCCAGGGGTTTTGGGAACCAGCAGTTAGTGTAATGGCTATGTTGCTGGACTCCCACGTGGTCGACCACGGTTCGCGTCTCAGACCCGGTGGCTTAAATCTCACGCCGGGCGCGTGTGCGTGCGTGCCCAAGATCCCGAGAGGAGAATGGAAGAGAAGGGATTGCGGCGTGACCATCCCCCCTGGGGGGTGATTTCTCGCTTCCTGTCTTTCTGTCTCTCTCTGTCTGGCGAGCGCACGCGTCCTATAGCGAAAACCTCTCCAAAAAATGCCAAGGAGTGAGATTGTTGGATCATATGGTAGTTCTGTTTGTAGACTTTTGAGGAATCTCCAAATTGTTCTCCACAGTGGTTGGACTAATTTACATTCACACCAGCAGTGTAAAAGAGTTCCCTTTTCACCACACCCCCACCAACACTTATCATTTTTTGATTTTTTAGTCTTAGACATTCTGCCTGGGGTTAGGTGGCATCTTATTGTTGTTTTGATCTGCATTTGCCTTACGATGAGGGATGTTAAGCATTTTTTCATATGCCTTTTGGCTATTTGTATGTCATCTTTAGTGTGTGGTTTTTACAACTTCTTCTCCCATCTTTTAATAGGGTTGATCATCTTTTTTCCAAAGAACTTCTTTAGTTCCTTTGGAGGAAGGATACGGAGACAGAGCATTGTTGGGTCAGGGAGGTAGTGTTGTTATATTTTGATGAACTGGACCAGGGAGAAATGTTCACATATTGAAATGTTCACTTTGTAAGCTAAATAATGTGATTGAATGTATAAAAAAATGTAAATAAATAGATAAAATTTAAAAAAATAAAATAAAATAACGCATTCTAAACACTAGCCAAACCAGAAACGTCTCCCTAATCTCAGCCCTAAACCTAACCCTAACCCTAACCCTAACCCTAATCCTATTGAAATCCCTAAACCTCGCCCTAAACCCTAACCTAATCATAACTGGAACCCTAAATGTAAACCTAACCAAAACGTTTAACCTAACACTAACCTAATCCTAACATAAATTCTAAACCCTAACTTAACCCTAAACCTAACCCTGCACCCAAACTCTAAACCTCACCTTACCCTATCCCTAAGCCAAAACCTTAAGGTAACCCTAACCCTAACCCTAAACCCTAAGCTAACCTAAACCTTAACCAAAACGTTAACCCAAACCCAAACCCAAGCTCTAAACTCTAACTATCCCTAAAACTAGCCCTAACATCAACCCTAAAACTAACTATAACTCTAACCTCAAGCCTAACCCTAACCCTGGACTAACACTCAACCCTATCCAAACCTTGACCCTAACCATAATGAAAACACTAACCCTAATCCTATCCTGAGCCCTATACCGTAAATTAACTAGACACCTAACTCTAAATCTAACCCCATTTTCAACCCTAACACTAACCCTAATCCTAAATTTTAACCTAAACCTAACCCTAAACAAAACCTAACCAAAACCTAAATTAAAAAAAAAATATTCTAACCATGGTTGGCCATGTGGGAGTCCAGTGCCTTAACCATCATGTCACCTGCTAGCTCCGTGAGTTCCTTATTTTATTTTATTTGTAACTAAACCTTAAACCATTATGCTGTATATTTTCTTATTATTAAAATAAAAATATGTTATCTAATGATAAAAACAATGTTAAATTTACCAATAACTGGTATTCTTCCAAATGATTTTGCATCACTGATCTCTACATCAACAACTGGGACTGTAGATTTATGGAACAGTTGTTTAAATTAGGACCAGAAACCTACCTTGTAGCTTATTTCAAATATTGTTCCAAATGGAACCTGCTCTGGTCTCATGAGTGCATTTATATAGCTCAAGCTGCACTTCTCTGAGGCGTAAAGTAAATGGAAGTACCCAGGAGATGGTGCAGCTCTTCCCCAGGCCAGAGAAGTAATTGCAAGAGGGAGTTAAGCAGTACATTGTTGAGTCCAGAAAAGTCATTAAAATGTTATAAATATTCAAAATAAAGTGAAAAGTGATTCAACGGGTTTTAAAAAGTAGCTCAATTAAGAAATAGAGGAAAATGTCATTTTCCCTCTATCTCTTTTGTAGATTTTTTTTTCAATTTACTGGAAACCATTCAGAAACTCCAGAGATTATGTGTTGGAGTGGCTTTTTAAAAATTTCATAGATAATCTGAAATATAAACTTTTTTCCTACAACTTTAATACTGTCAAGTTTTAGAGTCAAATCAATACCTGAAAGTAATTCTTCTGATGGAAATTTTTATTGGAGAATTTGAGGTTATTCAATATGGCAATGCCTCAGTATAGCATTTAAAAAGTGCATTACTGTAAAAATTCCATTTAAATAATATCCATCATTGAAGTCATACTCAAAGTAGTATTTATACATTGAATGAGTTCCAAATGTTTTACTAGTCATAATTTTTGGCTTACATATCTCAATTTTTCCTTACAATTACAGCAAACATTTTAGTATAAAAAGATCTTCTTGTTTGAGCTGTAGAGTATTAGAAAATAAAACAATTTTAAGTATTTTGAAAATGTAAAGTACTGATCCAAATAACAAAGTATGGTATTTGTACCTATTTATAGTTCGAATAATCTGCCAAGTATTGAATTAAGAATGAGAAATTTAGGTGAGACACATTTTCATACTTTATTTTCAATATATAATACTTCCGATTTATGAGAAATAATATCATTAATAATAATTATACTTTAATGTTAGATCTTTGTTAAAGGATCTTAAAGTTCTTAGATAGAAATAGGAGCAGACAGGACCAGCAGTTGGTGTAATGTTTATGTGGCTAGACTCTCGCCGGCCATGTGTGCATGCGAGCCCAAGAACCTGAGAGGAGAATGGAAGAGAAGGGATTGTGCAGTGGCCATCCCCCCTGGGGTGGGGGGTGATTTCTTGTTTTCTGTCTCTCTGTCTCTCTCTGTCTTTCTGGCGAGCACATGTGCCCTATGGCAAAAACCTCTCTAAAAAAATAAAAAATATAATTAAGAGCAGAGAAGATTTAGAATAGTAACTTAGTACACGTTTACTGAATAATTCATGTGTAAGCTTTCAATCAGATGTTTACTTTCCTAAAGCCTTTCTTTCTTTTTACTCCATCTCATTTCAAACTCTCTGAAAGAAGCAGGAGTTGGAGTTTGGGTAGGTCTGGGAGACTTTTAAAAAAATCTCAGATCACTCATCTAACTAAAACCAAAACCATTTAAAATACCCAAGAGGAGGTGTGGATGTCAGATGATGTAGTTTTCTACATCATCTACTTCTTCCCTAGTTCTGTTCTGTTCCCACCTCCCCCAAGTATTCTTAATCACTTACTTAAATAAATGTTAGTTGTTGACTTTATCTTGTGTGTGTTATTATGGTCTTTGGTACCAAAACTTTCAGTAATGTACTCCATTTGACAAAATTTCCTTCGGACAGAGATTGTTTATTATAGATTTACTATTAAAATGTTACAATTCTATTATATTCTGGTATTCGCCAGAGAAACTAGATAACTCTCATAGATAGCAAACTTAAAAGAATCTGCTGGCAAGATAGAAGACCACGGCACTATGATCAGTTCATTATAACCTTGGGGGTCTCAGAATTGCTGTTACAGACACTGGGCTAATTATAGAACATCTGGATACCTTAAACCATTTTCAACTCCCTAAAGGACAATTCATAATGATCTTTATGCCCTGATTTCTACCCACACCTCAAGCTGCCTCTAAGACTTCTCCCCTCACAATCTGTCCCAGGAGTTCTCTAAATCCAATGGGATCTTCTTCACTTTCTCCAGACTTTCTGACATGATTTCCTCAGCTTTGGATAAACTTTTTAAGGTCTCAGCTTAAAGTGTTTTTCCTCAGGGAAGACTTCCCTGGCCACCCGTCAGAAAGGATGACATGTTCCTGCAATATGTTTCCCATTCACTTTTCATTCATTTGTTCACATGTTCGCTTGGATGCTATCTCAACAAGCATTTAAGCACCTACACCTACTATATAGTAGACATCTTGTATGACTTCTTTTACAATAATTTTCTAAATGTTTTGTTATTCCTCACTGGACTCTAAACACTGGAGAAGGATCTTGTCAATTTGGCTCATCATTGTGTCCTCAGAACATAGAACATTGCTTAGCAAATAATTGATAATTAATGAACAGCTGTTGAATTAGCCAAGGAATAAGCAGGTGTGAGCTTTTAGACCTTTTTTCATTTTTTTTTTGGAATATTTGTAAAATTCAAAACTAGCTTTGTGTTTAGCTCTTAGTTTCTCAGTAAGAACACCAAAAAGTTCAAATGGATTACTTTGCAGGCTTTTCTTTTTGTAATGCATTCGTCATATGCACTCCCTTTTTGCAGTTTAAAAGGAGTTTGAGTACTTCTCAGACATGAGGCCATGGCACTCCACAAAGCGTGGCTGATGTTCTTTAGTTATCCAAATAGGGAAGGCCTGAGACAGCCCCTTGGCCAGTGGCAGGGAAACAGGAAACAGGTTAAATGTGTGTATGTGTGTGAGATAAATATCTATATCTATCTGTCTATCTATCTTTCTATCTATCTATCTATCTATCTATCTATCTATCTATCTATGGAGGTAGGCAGCCCTAATCTCAAGAGGTTGGACTTAGAAGAGATTTGAGATGTACATTTGGACTATTGATTGTTAACGATTTTAAGATCCAGTCTGAATTACTGTTTCTGTTATTAACCATAGCTAATGTTATTTAATTTAGGATTAAAAACAGCAAAACCGTTGCTATTCCTATATTCATTATGGCACATAATACCCTCTCTATGATGTCACTGGTATTATACAGTAGATTTTGGAAGGAAAGAATGGTTTATATCTAAAACAGAGGAGGAGGATGAAGGAGAGGAAGAAGGGGAAAATAAAGAAGGGGAGAATGATAACACTATGCCCTTCAGAAACAACCTAAAAGGCAAATGGAATGCATAGAGTAAAGTATAACAACTATCCGGTTGGAATATTTGCATTTCTGACTAATTGCCACTCAAGTTTTAAAACTCAGCATTTTCTAACTAACCAAATTAATATTTATAGGAAGTTATATCACTGCCCCATCTTATATTATCCTTTAATGTAGTGACATCAGAACACATGGAATCCCAGCAAAAAAAAGTACTATATTTAGTACTAAAGTCCCAAGATAGGACTAAGTTCTCTGAAACCCCAAATGCAATGGGGCATTTGTCTGAATAAATTTTATAGTGAACTGACAGACTTTCCATTAAGAGGAAAGAAGAAAAATTATTTTTCTGTTCAAGCACAAAAACATTATGAAAATGAATAAATACTCCGCAGCCACTAGACATATTAAATAAAAACAACACCATAATAATATTTTGTTAAGTGAAAAGCTAATTTCCAAATGGAGCATAAAATATGATTCCACTGTGGGGAAAAAAAAGGACATAGAAATACAGAAAATACAGAGAGAAGAAAAAAAATGAAAGGGAATATGCCAAAATTTTAAAGGTGCTTATGAATAAACACTTATACTATGGATATTTCATTACATTCTCTTTGACTACATTTTCCAAGTTAATAAGAAAAAAATTATTAGCATTCGTTTTGTATTATTTTACGATACAAGGAAGTTTATAGTGAGGACTCTTCAGTCTGTGTGAGAATTCCTTTAAATTACATTAAGAAAATGTGTGTGGCCTATTTATAGGAAGGTAGTTAATTGTTATCCAGAGATGATTTACATGACTGTCACTGAAAAGTATAGACTCTATATTTTCCCTTTCTTATACAATAAAATGATCTATAAAAACAAAATATTGGGACCAGTAGAGGGTATAATGGTTATGTCACTGGACTCCTATGTGGTCGACCATGGTCCAAGTTCTGAACCTGCTGGCTTAAGACTCACACCAGGCACGAAGATCCATAGAGAAGGATGGAGGAGAATGGACTGCAGTGTGACCAACCCCCAGGGCTGATTTCTTGCTTTCTGTTTCTTTCTCTCTGTCTAGCAAGCACACATATCAAAAAAAGGCAAACAAGCAAACAAACAAAAATAAAACAAAACAAAAATACTCTCTAAAAAGAAACAAAATGTTGGGGTAACAGGTGGTGTGGTGGTTAAGGCAATGGACTCCCACATGGCCAACAGCATTAGAGTCCAGGTCACAAAGGTTGCACACATGTGTGTGCCCAAAATTCCATGAAGAGAATGAAGGAGAAGGGATTGGGCATGGCCATCATCTCTGTCGGGTGATTTGTCACTTTCCCTCTCACTGTCTCTCTCTCCCCTCCCCCCCACCGCAAGCTCACATGCCCTATTATAAAAACCTAAAAAAAAAGTGACTTCATATATATTTTTTCTTTTCCTTTTTTATAATTATTCATAGATAGAACTATTGCAGTTACCTAAGATCATTTTAAATGCACCAAGTCCCCTAGGTTAGGTACCTAATTTTAAAGACAAGGAAACTGAAATCCAAGGGTAGGATTTTCATTAATGTGTAGTTTACATTTTACTGTAGCAATTATTCTCTCTCTCATACATACACACACACACACGACATAAGTGATACTGTATTGCCTGGTCTTGAATGCTTACCATCTTCTTCAATGAAAATATCTTATTTTCAAACAGATAGAGAGGTGTAAATGTAGCGTACACAACCATATGAGGGGACAGTACTGCTGAAGAACCTGTAAGACAAACATATATTGTGTTACTAAAATTCTAGTAAAAATAGGTCTGTCAAGATTGTCTAAAGTTCTTAATGAACTTATCCTCGCTGGCAAAAAAAGTGGATAAATGACTCAAAATAAATTTAACAAATGTAGAATCTCAAATATACATTCATTTTATAGACAGCCTCATAAGTTTTGAGTTCACAGTAGTAGCATTTAATTATTTAAGATATTATTTTAGTTCCCTGTAAAAAAGTTATCATTTTTTTCTTTATTGTTATTATTATTTATACATTCAATCACTACACATCATGTAGGTAAGAAAGAAACTTTTCCCAGCATGATATACACCTCAGCCCAGCCCAGTTGAGACCACCATACACATCCTCATGAACAGATAATAAACCATATCTGAATCCCATAAGTGTCTTACCCTTATATTTTTTCCCTCAAATTTCCTTTCCTACACATATACTCTGGCTCTTAATGTAGCACAGAGTGGTTCAAAAATAAGCATGTTCCAATTAAATGATTTTTAAATTGAGACATTCCTTAGCTTTCATAGATAGAATTTTGAACTAAAAGAAACATGAGTTTCTGTGTTCTTTCAGGAAGAAAGAAATCATGAATAAAATGAATCCTTCTACAAAGATGAAAAACATATGTAGCTTGGGTGCTGGGAAAATTTGCTTTTCATCATTGCTTATTTGTTTGAGCCTGTTTTTCTCAACATCCCTGAAATTACTATACTTGGTTCAGTGCTTTTTTTTCTAAAAACATTCAGGACAAACCAGCAGAAGTCAATACATTTTAATCTTTTAGTTTTTTAGAGAATACTTTATTTATTCTTTACCAACTTATATAATTACATATTAGGTGATATGGTTATAGAAGAGAAATACCCTTAGGGCCAAAAAATATAACTTAGATAGCAGTCCAGTTTTTCTCTAGAATAGAGATTGAAATAAGGCAAAATAATAGAAATCTAGCTTTAAATTTAAAAATTGAACTTTGGGGTCAGCAGTTGGAATAGTGGTTAAGGCGCTGGACACCTCATGGCCAGCCATGGTTCTTGTCCAGTACCTGTGAAACTCATACCTTTCTAACAAGTGCATACACTAGATAGGAAAAAAGAAAGAAAGAAAAGAATGGAACTTTGTACATTTCTCATGAAATTTGCCAACACATCTTGGTCACTCTTTTCCTACACTACTTATTTACCTATGTTACATCTGTTTGATCATGGTAAATATCTTCTTGTGTCTATGTATTTTATCTCTCCAACTAACTCACAGATGTTTAGATGCAAAGACTGATTTAATAATTTGATTTATTCCACTAGGCACTTTGTGTGAACTAGTATGTTTTGAAGCCTGATCAATGGTCTCAAGTTCAAAATGCAACAAAATAATTATTCCTCTTTTTATACTGTGAAGAGAAATATTTTCCATGTGTTTCTAACACTAGATAGCATGATCTGTTGCATGCACACTGAACCAGAACGATCTTGGTTAGCAGTGACCAGCAAATTACTGTCCAGTTTCTTTGTTCACTGATCAATCTAATCAAAGCCCATCATCAATAAGTAAAAAAAAAAAAAAAAAGATTCAGAAACATCTTTAGGTTTCAGATGGAAGACCGTGATAACTGTAATGAATAAAAATTTGAAAAATCAGCTTCTCATCTATTTGAGAACTTTATGTTCATGGAAAAGAAGAGGATTAAATATTTTCTCCAGGTACTTTCAAAGTTTAAGATTTACCAGTTGACCCTCTACTTAAGAAATTTATGAATGGTGAAGGCAAAGATAAAGAAAAGGAGAAAAGAAGATGGGTTCCTCTCTGATGACTGAGAAGGATGAGGTTCCTTTTATAAAATTTGGCTTGAGTTCTGGATTTTAAATATACACCCTTGCTTCTTCTAGTGTTATGGTATTAGATTTCAGACATAGTAAAAACATAAGGAAATCAATGATAATCATTTAAATTATGGGTAGATAACAAAACTGGTAATATAGCAAATTAAAAAATTAAACTGATGATTGTGAAGCTTTGTAACCTGGGACTTATGAACCAGCTCTAAATTTTGGTCTTCAGTAGTGAGTAGTGAGTTAAAAATGGAAGGGACCAGCAATGAGTGTAATGGTTATGTTGCTGGATTCCCACGTAGTTGACCACAGTTCACGTCCCGGACCCGGTGACTTAAACTCACGTCGGGCTCATGTGCGTATGTGCCCAAGATCCCGGGAGGAGAATGGAGGAGAGGGGATTGCAGCGTGGCCATCCCCTCTGGGGGGTGATTTCTTGCTTTCTGTCTTTCTGTCTCTCTCTGTCTGTCTGGCGAGCACACGTGCTCTATAGCAAAACCTCTCAAAAAAAAAAAAGAAAAAAAAGAGTTAAAAATGGAAACATTTATATTAGTGAGGCAATTAACAAAGTGAATTGATTATGAATGGCTTGTACTATCTACAAATAAACATGATGTGTTTAGATGATCTCTCTTTCATGTTAAAGAATCATAACATGTAACAAGAAATCTACTGTGAAGAGTTATTTTTATGGACCTATAAATGGAAGATGAGGAAGAATGGCAGTAACAAACAAAATGTTACAGAACAGTATGATGGTAATATGGATTTATTGGTAAAGACGTAAGATGCATGGAACATGGGACCAGCAGATGACAGAATGGTTATATTGCTGGACTCCTACATAGCTGAACAAGGTTCAAGTTTTGGACCCTGCAGCTTAAAACTCATGCCGGGCATGTGTGCATTCATGCCCAAAATCCCAAGAGGATAATAGAGAAGAAGGGATTGCAGTGTGGCCATCCCCCTTGGGGAATGACTTCTTGCTTTCTGTCTCTCTGTCTTTCTCTGTCCCTCTGGTGAGCACATGAGTCCTATTGCAAAAATTTGTCTTAAAAAAAGATTTATGGAACATAAAAAGCATTTTATCACTTTTTAAAAGAATAAATCAATGAATAGCTTAACGTGGTATTTCCTAAATTGTGCCCCCTCTATCTAAGCCCTACAAAATAATTCTTGGAGCAGTAGAGGTCCAAGGTCCAAGACGATTTGCAGAAAAATAAAAATAAAAATAATTACCAAACTCATTTGCTCACAGAATGATATTTCATTTCATTTTCCATCTCTACTTAGTCTTCTATTAATGACACTTACTAACATCTCAATGGATATGTATTCTTTGGGATAAAACTTGAAAAGTATTGGCTTAAAGTTGCATAGATTTTAGTATTTTTAATTGTATTTATCTTAGAAAACAGTTATTAACATAAATAGTAATTGAAGTGCAATTTGAACTCAAACACAAATTCATGCTTGAACATGAAATTTATGTTTGAACTTGGAATTGCTGTTTGTAGTAGACTGCCAGTTAGAAATAAGCTTACCTGCATTTAACAACAAACTCAACTAACAGCCAAAACAAATGATTGTTTTGTCTCAGGTAATAAGCAGTCTGAAAACATACAGATGCACTGTTGGTTCAGCTACTCAATGAGGTTGGACCTATGTCACTAAAATTTGACTTCTCTCTAACACTTGACTAGATTATTTCCAAGTTCAAGATAAGATGGACATTTTATAACAACATCTGGGCCCTTCTTCAGAAAAAGGAAACGCTTCTACAGAAGCCCTCAAAAGATATTCACTTGGGAACCAGCAGTTACCATAATGGCTATGTCACTGGACTCCCACGTAGTCGACCGCGGTTCATGTCCCAGACCCGGTGGCTTAAAACTCACACCAGGCGCATGTGCGTGCGTGCCCAAGATCCCGAGAGGAGAATGGAGGAGAAGGGATTGTGGCGTGGCCATCCCCCCTGGGGGGTGATTTCTCACTTTCTGTCTCTATGTCTCTCTCTGTCTGTCTGGCGAGCGCACGCACCCTATAGCAAAAAAAAAAAAAAAAAAAAAGATATTCACTTGAATGCACTTTACTGAATCAAGTGCACATGGCCACCTCTTTTACTACAAGGGGGTTGAATATGCATGAATTTCACTTGAGCTTGAAACACTGCCTACATGAAAACAAATAAGAAAACAAACCTGAGTTCCTCTAGTGAGGGAAAGGTAAGATGACAAACAAAAAGTCCTAAATAAATCTTAAGAAGAATTTCACATTGGAAAATAACCATGAGTCTCTTAGCACAGTTTTTAAAAAATGATAGCAACCAAGATGTAAAATATTCAAAAATAGGGGCTAGCAGGTATCATGGTGGTTAAGGTGCTGGATTCCCACATGGCTGACTGCAGTTCAAGTCCTGGACTTGGTAACATGAAAATCACACCAAGCATCTATGTGTGCATGACCAAAATTACAGGAGAAGAACATAGGAAAAGGGATTGTAGCATGGCCATCCCCTGGGGGGTAATTTGTCACTTTCCCTCTCATTGTCTCTTTGTCTCTCCTGCAAGTACATGTGACTTATGGCAAAATTCTAAAAAAACAAACAAACAAACAGAAATCATACAAAAACTCAAGGATAATATTTTCTACTGCTAATAATGAAGTCCGTTATACAATCCCTCAGGTACTAATATAAAAGCATTGCATTAATTTTCCCCAATATGAATTATATTCCTGTGATGAAATTTCTCAATAATTACATTTGTATACTTTAGTTCATTGCATTGTCTTGTTGTGTTTAATTTCTCATTTTCTTTTGCTAATTATCAATGAAAATTTTGTTGGTGGTAATGCAATAATGTAGAGAAAAGGGAGATAAATAAGTATCAACATGAGATGATTAGATATACACTCCTTTACCCATATTTACTAAACAGAATCCTTTTTTAAGTTAGCATTCTATTTGATTTTTAAGTGCTAATTTTTTTAATAACGCAATAAACTCTCATTAAGTATAGTAACCATGTTATATATTACTTCTCACTTAATTATCTTATAACTTAAAGTTTGTGCCTTATGACCAACATCTCCCCACTTTTCCTATGCCTGAGTCCCTGGCAGCATCAATTTATGGTTTCCCAAACTC